TATATGTACATGGTGGTCCATTTATTCGACTTATTTTATCGTGTAGCGGTCAGACCATAGATGAAATAGGTTTTATATTTTGCATTGAAAATAGTATTCAGTGTGTTAAGTCGATTAACCGACAATTAAGTGGTATCTAAAACAAAATCCAAGGTCAAGTTTTTTTATTCTCACTTTAGTACTAAGATGGTTCTATAGTCCAGTTTTAAATCATACCTTAGCATCCAAATAAAATAAGTTTGATAAATCAAACCCACAATATTTGTAAAATCTTGTGTAATGGTAGTTCACTGGAGCGACTAGCCAGGATGAAGATATTGCTTTGATCTGAGTCGCCTTTCTGAGATGTGTAACACTGGGTACACCGTTGAAGAGCTCCACCCGCAAAACCGTGTAATGTGGTATTTAAGTCACCTCGATGATATGTCTATCGAGCAGTACTGGTTGATGTGAATGATTTTCAACTCCTCATATCAATCAGTCAGCAGAATACATATACTGTCATGCAAAATTTACATTTTTGAGTACCATTGAAGGTTATCAGCCGAAAACCAGCATCTGGAAATCAATCTGATGCTTACTAGTGCTTGAATACAGGACAAGGCTGCGTGGAGTTTTAGTGAGAAGTCCTGACCAATGAGGTCCATTAAGTCATCGGACGTGAGGAACAGTACTCGTAGATGACACTAGATACAGTGGAACTATATGTCGTTAACTGTAAGAAATTAGAATTCATGGAGTGGCTATAGTATTTTAACACAGTGGCTAAATGGTCAATGGGACCATTTCGCCTGAAGGTTTTCTGTTCGACGTCCAGTGAGGCCATGGCTGCATATTGTTGAATAGTCACAAAGAAGAAGGATGAAATAGCTGTCCAGTACTTTCTGTTCTTCAGTAGTTCTCTAATTGGTGTGGTGTGACTTAAAACCAATGGAAATTCCCACATACGAACACCTGACAAGTACATTAATTATTCGTCTTTCTTCCCAAATTACATCACCTAGAATCAAAGTTTTTCAGTGATAAGAACACACGGTACACTGATTTATTTTGATTTCAATATACACATATATTTACGAAAAAGTCGGTTGTAATAATAATAATAATGGTAACACTTGACATAATGAGGGACGAGTATACAAACTGAATGAAGAAAACGAGGAGTAAGTAGAGCCACAACTATGAATGGAGATAATCATACTTCAGCATAGAGGGATGAAGACCATGAAAGTTGAAGGGATTGAGTAAAACAATCAATGCGTATCCAACTCATTTGTATTGCTGAAGCTTTGACCATTGAAATAGAGAAGCCAGATCTCTGTATACAGAAAGCGTTCGTTCAAACCCTCCAACTTTCATGGTCTTCATCCTTCTATGCTAAAGTATGATAATCTTCATTCATATTTGTGGCTCTACTTACTCACAGGCGACCAGGTGCGAAGCGTATAACAATACATTTTGTATTGAAACTGAACTGGAGGTCTGTAACTCTCGGTACCAGCGACATGGTGCAAATTAATAAATTTGATCAGTCACGGCTACTATATGATTCAGAGACCAGACAGGTGTGTGATTAAAAATAGGCTACTGCATGCCTTCATCAACTTTCACCCCAATCTCATCCCCAACACTGATGATCAGGTGGATGGCTCATTGGAGACGATAAACAAACAATTAGGAACGGTAGCAGACAGCGAACTATCCAAAAACCTATTGCTAAACCAATAAATATGAAGAAAGAAATGGGGATAGATGGGTGAATATACACCGAGGAGATCATCGAGTAAAATTACATGCCAAGTATACTGTTAAATGGAATCTAAATGCTAGGTGATGAGTTGGGCGTGGGTCTGAGTGTGACATAGAGGAGATCAAATAAAGAGGAAATGGAAGCTTCCGGGTGGTTATGAAGCTGGCTGAAATTGACGGCGGGAAACGGTATTGTATACAGATGGACCACTGAAGCCGTACATATTCACTGTACTTACAACACAGGATATAAATAGATTTTTCGAAAACATCAACTCAAAGGTGGAGGCAATACAATTCACTTATGAATTAAAAAGTCAGTAAGATAGCAACGTAAAAAGGAAAGAAGATGGGAAGTTAAACACTAGCGTTTACAGGAAACCCACACATTCAAACGGATATTTGGACTTCCGATCATCCCATCCTATGTCAGTGAAAATAGGGTTGGCAAAATGCTTAAGTAATAGAGCACAAAAACTAAATAGTATCAAGGAAAATCTAAGACAGGAAGTGATATGCTTAAGAGAAGCCTTGAAACTTAATAATTACCCCGATAAATTAATCAGGAAATATGTAGGGAAATGTAAAAATAAAATAAATAATGATAGTAGTGATAGTGATAATAATAATGATAATATTAATGACGACATGCATGTCAAATATGCGCAAGACAGTACCAACAATAAGGAATCTAAATCATCAGTAGTAATTCCACACAAAGAAGGGACCTCGGAGACCACCTTACGCAGAATTCTTAACAAGGCAGGCAGGAATAAAAGTGACTGGCAGTCAAACCAACCACAAACTCAAATGGAAACAAGCTTTTGAAATAATAGAGAAGATTTGTAGCTCAGGTGGAACAAGCTTTATCGGTTAAAGGATCCTGTGGAGCCTTTAAAACAAAACAATTTAGTTTATCTAATACCTAGCTGGAATGATTGTCAGGTCAATTACATAGTTCAAACTAGTAGAACGGGGCAGTCAGACTAGCCGAACATAAAAACCTAGCAAAATCTAGATTGGTTGACCCGAATAAGATAAGAAATCTAGAGAATAGTTCAGCTATAGCACTACACACTACATGCAATTACACACAGCCATACAATGGGATGAATGGGATAAGATGACAGTTTTAAAATCTAATGTCACAGCACGGTGGAGGGAGAGATTAATAACAGAAGTTTTGTTTGTCGAATCAACTGCAAATACGTGTAATAGGAATGATTCAACACCTGTCCACCCAGATATCTGGAAAATGCTATTACCCCAATGACGACAAGTAGGAGAGAACAAAGAAAACTATAAAACTCAAGTTTCAAAGTCGTGTGATTACAATTGATATGATTATGAACAATAAATTTTGTTCGAAACGTCATCCAGTAAATAATACTGTTTCACTGTGTGATACATCTAAGGAACAAACTAATAAGGTGGTTTAATCTTCCTAATTGCTCTCTAGGGCTTCCACAAAAATTCATGACACGCCCCAAACAGGTCTTATAGATAGGTTAAAAAGACGAGTTATCATACATTTTATCTCCTGTCTCTATAACATATTTCGCAATAGAGGAGTTACGTCTCCTGTTTTCAGCATTAATAGGTTCAGAGGATTTCATTTGCTTCTGTAGCCATTTAGGGCTATTCTGTGAGGCGTTTACTTAATAATAATAATAATAATAATAATAGTTAATTGCATTAGACATGGAGTTTATATACCTGTCACAACACTGATTCAAAATATATTGTATATATTTGAAGAACGGATTAGAATTGCAGCCTAGGTGGATGTGATAAGTGGTGATATGCTCTCTAAAGTTATTGTTTCAATGTGTAGCGTATAATAAAAAAATGAATGCATAAACGTCTTGTGTGAGTGTGTAGTCCAAGCTTTACAATCATACTAAAGTACATATGTACTTAGCTATATATATATATATATATATATATATATGTACATGGTGGTCCATTTATTCGACTTATTTTATCGTGTAGCGGTCAGACCATAGATGAAATAGGTTTTATATTTTGCATTGAAAATAGTATTCAGTGTGTTAAGTCGATTAACCGACAATTAAGTGGTATCTAAAACAAAATCCAAGGTCAAGTTTTTTTATTCTCACTTTAGTACTAAGATGGTTCTATAGTCCAGTTTTAAATCATACCTTAGCATCCAAATAAAATAAGTTTGATAAATCAAACCCACAATATTTGTAAAATCTTGTGTAATGGTAGTTCACTGGAGCGACTAGCCAGGATGAAGATATTGCTTTGATCTGAGTCGCCTTTCTGAGATGTGTAACACTGGGTACACCGTTGAAGAGCTCCACCCGCAAAACCGTGTAATGTGGTATTTAAGTCACCTCGATGATATGTCTATCGAGCAGTACTGGTTGATGTGAATGATTTTCAACTCCTCATATCAATCAGTCAGCAGAATACATATACTGTCATGCAAAATTTACATTTTTGAGTACCATTGAAGGTTATCAGCCGAAAACCAGCATCTGGAAATCAATCTGATGCTTACTAGTGCTTGAATACAGGACAAGGCTGCGTGGAGTTTTAGTGAGAAGTCCTGACCAATGAGGTCCATTAAGTCATCGGACGTGAGGAACAGTACTCGTAGATGACACTAGATACAGTGGAACTATATGTCGTTAACTGTAAGAAATTAGAATTCATGGAGTGGCTATAGTATTTTAACACAGTGGCTAAATGGTCAATGGGACCATTTCGCCTGAAGGTTTTCTGTTCGACGTCCAGTGAGGCCATGGCTGCATATTGTTGAATAGTCACAAAGAAGAAGGATGAAATAGCTGTCCAGTACTTTCTGTTCTTCAGTAGTTCTCTAATTGGTGTGGTGTGACTTAAAACCAATGGAAATTCCCACATACGAACACCTGACAAGTACATTAATTATTCGTCTTTCTTCCCAAATTACATCACCTAGAATCAAAGTTTTTCAGTGATAAGAACACACGGTACACTGATTTATTTTGATTTCAATATACACATATATTTACGAAAAAGTCGGTTGTAATAATAATAATAATAGTAATTTTAATCATAAATAGAATTAAAATTAGTTTCAAACAATCAAAAAGATAATTTGTATTACAAGGTTGAAACAAGGTCAGTATGTTCATATAAACATTAAAAGTATTAATTCATTAAAAATGGAAGTTAATCAAGTGAAAACTAGGTCGAGTTGAATCATTTATTCGACTATGTAAAAATACTCTTCCTACCACTTAGTTAAAAAATGAACCATAATAATAGTTACTTTTATAATCGGCAATTATATAATCAAGGACATAAGTTGCGATTCTACCCGGTTCAACCTTTAGTATTACGCCATCTGCATTATTAATATTGTCAATCGTGTTACATTTATGTTCAGTAGCTACTGGGTTTTGATTATTGTTTAAATTGGCTTCATTCGGCCATTTTAATCTATTTGAAATAGCCTCAGCTTTCAGTTGATCAGCTGTCAAAGTCATTTCTTTCATGCCAGTTATTATTACATCCTTGATTAGATTGGTGACATCTATACGACATGGTTTTATGGTTTGATTATTATTCGGTTGTTCTAAATTTTCTAATCGAATTAGAATTTGATTCGGTACTCTAGGATCAGGTAGACTGGCTCTGTTCAACGGCCATGAAGTTAAGGTGAGTAAATGAATATGCTTTGGTAAGGCAATATTGATACCACTCCAACCATTGACTTGTGTTGGTTTCGGTTGGTGTTTAGCTGGCATAAATAATGGGAAAATTGGTCTGCTTACAGTATGAGCCATTATTCTATCCTCTGATTCAATAATCTTCAGTTCATCGAATCTTATTCGGTGTACACCTCGGACTATCAAACCTGGTAATTCAGAAAATAACAGGAGAAAGGAAAAAATATTCTTCATTCATCATTAGTTATCACTACGTTATAATTCCAAGCCATTTAAGATAGGTTTCATTTAAGAAACTATTGAAAATCTGAGAATAATGAGCAGTACTGTTCACAGACGGTGTCGCAGGCAGGATCTGTAAAACAAGACAGACCTTCAGTATTCTGAAGTCAGTGTGAATGTTTGCTGCAATCATCATAAGAAGAAACACCGAGGGCTTCAGTATGGTTCAGAGACCAAGCGCGCAACTGAAAGTATCTCCAGAAGGTTGCAGACTTTTGTCAACAGCTGTATTCGCTTAATAATGATCATCAGATAGCCGGTCGGTAACAATAAACACTATGTAACTCTGGTTATGAGACAGCCATGAACCTATTGCCTAACAAATATTAAGAAGAAAGTGGAGGTAGATTGGATATATGCTGATGAGAACGTTGAATGACATTACGCACCAGACCCTCATGTGGGACCTAATGGGAAATGATGAGTTGGGAGTTCGAAAGTAACAAAAAGGATACCGTGTGAGGAGAAAATGAAAGCTAGTGGATAAACGTGGAGTCAGCCGAAAAAGGACTGAGCGAAATGAGTGAAGTAAAGATGTTCCGCTGAAACCTTATGATTCACTCGGAACCCAACCTGAACATCGTGGGATCCTTTATGATATCTCTGTATTGAAACAAGCAAGTTTGCTTTCTGTGATGTTGAATTAATAGTCATGAAAAGTCCAATGATTTTATATACTGACCCGACACTAGGGAGTAAATTACGCAACATCTCACGATTTATCACTGTTTCCGACTAGCTTAGTTGTTATACTTCTGAGTGCGGTTTCGAATATTCAGCGTTGTATCAGTCCCTTTAGTGTTACCAACACACGTTGGTGCCTGACGCCTACTAATAAGCACGAAATCTATTTCGAGGAACGTACTGTTGATTACCTGGTAGGGTGAGCACAGGCTGATTGCCCCTTATTTGATAAGTCGTAGGTGATATTCTTATAATGTGAACTGACTACCTGAACGCTAACCAGGGCCTGCACCTACATTGTCGGACACATTCTCCTTTGAATTACTCAAGCAAGCAAGATAAATACATTGACGGCTAAGAAACCTCGGGTAATATCTTTCTCAAAACTATATATATATAATATATATATACATAACCTACCTCTCCTGTCTGCACCACTTTCCATCAATGGTTCACCAACACCGAAACCATCATCACGCATTAAGCGACGATGTAGCATAATCTCTATTTGTCCATCGTGTAAACTTGTCCCGCCCTCAGCGCGATCAGTGTAAACAGCTAATCCAAAGGGTATTGTTGCATCACCATCATTCATTAAAATATTTTTCAACATAATTCTATTTATTACAGGATAGTAGTTGCCAGCAATATTTTCAGTTTCAGTGAAATTCACTGGAAGATTCCAGTCAACTCTTTTGTTACGTAGTCGTCTTATTAAACGTCTACCAGAAGAATCAGTGAAAAATTCTCCTAAAGTAAAGTGATAATAACAAAAGTTTTCTTCATCAAAAATGATGTTGAAAATCAGGAAAATATTTACTCGAATTGTTTCTACAACTGTTTCCTTGACTTATTTTTGAGGTACGATGGAGGATATTTGTAGCCTAGATGGCTGGATGACATAATATTGGTGTAGTTGAGCTCTCTCTATGAGCTTGAGTTATTTTTACTGGGAGTCAGTTTTTATTGTCTTTCTGGACAATATCACTTGTCTCAGTATGAGGTGAGCTTTTTTGAATTCCCATGATGATCTTAGATGTAATAGGTTGCCTGCGGTCAATTTCTTACCCTCTTGCTTACTTGTATTGTTGTCGATTATTCTGTCAACCACTGCTCCACATAAATTCCTCTTTTCATTACTTGATGAGTCTGATTTATGTCAGTGTGTCTGTTGATTGCAGATTTGTCTGAGTACAAGGCTTCTACGTATTCCCTAGCATTCTTGGCTTTTCCTTTCTCGAGAATTTATACATTTTGACAGTCATATTACTGTTGATCATAGTCTACATACACTGATATGAAAGAATGATTATCATATCCTTTGACACCCACCTTACTTTGATGGATGTGAAGATGAAGAAGACGTCTACTTTGATCAGTAAAATGTTTCTCATAAACAGTAGTGGCCTATATTGATTTTGTCTTCTTTCAACGTTGAGTCTTTTAGTTAGTAGGCAGTATCAACTAAATTGATTTCGTTTGTTTATTGGCGATAACTGTTCTAAAATGTTTCAGTAATTTGGCAGGGTGTTTTGGAGATGTTCATCACAAACAGTAAGTAGGAGACGTTATACCAATCAAAAAAGTGCTTAAGTTATGTGTATGTTTGATTGTACTTGCCCACGTGAAGATTTAACAGCGCTAATGAGTGCTTGCCAAATCAGTGATGCTTCTCTGGCTGATATTTTTACATAAAAACTCGACAGTAATGAATAGGGGAACTTACACTGAAACTAAAATCTTTGTTACAATAACTTCATTTCTGATAATGGCGAAATACGGAGAAAACCCCAGTTAGTTCGCTTTGCAGAAGGCATTGCTACCAAAGGATTTCAACCTTATCTCTGCGCACACTCCTGTATGACTAGCTGACAGAAGACCTGACATATGGAGAATGTTGGGAGTGACGTTAACAAAGTCCCGTCCTACCCTTCGTGTAAAGATAATACCATCGCTACTGTAACTTTGAGAAAAAGCTTGGAAATTTATGTTCCACTCAGCACTCTGGGAATGGAAAACAAATGGCAGCCAACCTAAACAACTGTGTCGTCAAATTTATCATGCACAAAAATGAGTGTAATTTACTCTTTTTCCGGCTTTGACTGACCAATAATATCCTTGAATCTCAGTCTGTACTTATGCCTAATTTCAATTAGTTTCTAACCTAAAATTCAAGTTCTTGTAACATACTTTCAATAAAACAGTAATGCCGATTATTTACTCACTTGAATAATTTTACTTATGAACGCATTTCTCAGAATAAAGGTGCTATTATTATTTACCTGAATTCTTAACTAATGCATCGTTGATTGTATAGCGTATAACTAATTCACGACTGTTTATATATCCATCATCTGGTATTGGTCCAGCGGTCCATTCAACTTCTAATTCATCATTATTATAATGACGTACAACTAGGGATGCCCATGAAGCATACTGTAAGTGATATTCTTTAACGCATGGTCCATCTATAATCTTTTAAGCAAAATATATAAACGTATAAAAAGAAAGGAAATAATGAGTAATCAATAATAAATTGACGGAGGATAAAAGAGTTTAATACTAATATAATTTGTTTTATTAGTGAGATAGGAAAATGAAATGGTTTACACATGTCTACCCGAAAGAGCATGATACCAGTTGATGTGAGTAGTTGGAAATTATTCATTTAAAATAGTACCGCTTGCTGGCCGGCTCACTGAAATGATTTAAACACTTAATTATCATTTCCGTTATTAAATGACTAAGTTTATTATTGGCGTACTTGTACTGACCCTGACCACTTCTCCTACTTCTCATAATTAGCGAATGTTTGCAGTTGATTCAGTCTGCATATAGCACTAATGAACTTGTTCATAAATTAGAGGAAATAGGTGTCTAGTGTTTCGATTACTTTGATGATCTGGCTAGCATCTCGGGAATCGAATACCTACCACGTGCATGGCTGCAAAACATTCTACACCTGAACCATAAATTGCTATGAGAACTTTATCCGCTGGAGCACTGGTCCATGATATACACCTCTTTTGCTACGGGTATGACTTGATTTTGCTCAACCTATGTCTGTGATTTCCTATTGGCGTGACTCAAATTGGAGGAAACAAGCTCATCCTGTCTTCTGCTGTTATTAATCCTGACAATAGCGAGGCATCTGCCAAAAATGAGCTTTAACTATTTCAACGGAAAATCATAAACACATATAGTTAATTTTAAATTTTAAATTTTGAGAGATGATCCATTAGAGAATTTTAGGGGGACATGAAGTAGTAGTAAGAGAGGTTACATTCAGACTGAAAATAATATATGCACAAGAAACCTTCTTTCAATCTTCCTTGTTGCTGAAATAAAATCAATTATTGTAAAAATTACTTGTTTAACCCACTTCAACGAGCACAGACTTTTGACACGTGTGATTCACAAATATTCAAATCAGTCCGTAGTGTAAACCTTTGAGCAATTATGCTTGCTTTCACAATCACCAATAATGGCACCAAGCAGATCACAAAGAGGGAGAGACAGCTATGAATATTGAGGCAGAAAGATCTAAGTGGAAATAAAACCGTTCACCTATGTATCCTGTTTTTTAATTATTCCTTCCCAGTGATTAGATGGTAGACGGACTTTCTTGTAAATGTTAGGATCATCAGTTCGATCCGCTGAAGGTTCCGAGGGTGCATACTACTATAGAGCCCCAAAAAAGAAGGCGAATAAAACACCCGCGCAATATTCCCTGCTGCTTTTAGTAATTGACTGACTGATTTGAAACTCCCACAAACCAACATGTGTTTATCATTATTATTATCACTTACATTTACTGTGGGTGTATGAAACGCCTGTATATAAGTACCGTATTTTGGTAAAAATATATATGCTCCAGAAGGCTGAGGATGCGAATTTTCACCAAAATAATACATTAATTCAACAGATAAATTCATTGTTTTACCAGTTCGTAAATGTTTCATTGTTATCACTAATGGATTATTGTATTGTTGTCTATCTGTGTCTTTTATAACATTTATGCTAGGTTGTATTCTTTTAGATATTGATGATTGTGATTTTTCATCAGAATTTGCAGACTCCTGATTGCTTTCCAGTGCTAAGTTTCTGTAGGTACTACTACTACCGCTGTTAATACTACTGGTAATAGTAGTACTACTGTCATATTCTTGATTATAAGTAGATGTATTGACAGCTAAATATAATAAATTAAATCCCATTGGTGATAATGATTTTACATTGAATATTATTTCATAATTTGTTGAATGTTTTTCACTATTTCTTTCAGGTATACTTAATGTTCGTCCAGTAATTGGTATCAATTGATATTTAAGGTTTTCATCAATGCTCATTAATGATTCAGGTGAATGTGATGATATCAGCCGTAAATCTTTCAATATTATCTGAACATTATTTATATGTTCTTCCGGAATATATAATGGTAAACGCAACCATGTGGAGGGCTTTATCCATGCTAAAGGATTATACAAAATTATGAATACACCTCCATCATTCGACTGACTTAAATAAGGTCTATCGCCTTCTAATGGTTCACATAAGCTAATATTTAGCAGATTACAAAAGATAACAGTATCATTTTGAATAAATGGTTTCAATGTCGGCAAGAGTTTAGTTAATGATTGACTAATTAAGAGTTGACAAAATTTTGTAGCCTTTGAAACTCTCCACGCATAATCATCAGCAACATGTTGTTTTTCTGTACCGGCGACAGCATCGTGATGTTGTAAAACGCCGAGTGTTTTCCGCAATGCATCAATTAATTCATCTGTGGTGATTTGTTTTTGATAATCACCACTATAGGATAGTCGATTCACGTGTAAATGCACCTAAATTATGAGAAAAGAGAGAGAAGTCGTGTTTAACGTGTTCGCACAAAATAATAAGCGCAAATAATAAGAATAAATTTGAATCTGTAATCTATCAACTGGAAGTTGGAAACTGAATAAAAATTTTAGTCGTGCTAGCATTAATACAACATTCATTAGTCTGAATTCAGTGTGAACAACTAAGGTGCTCAGATCAAGAAACAATATCCTAATTCATATCATTAATGTACAGGTTATAGCTTCAGCATGCTTTGAAGACTTGTTGCATGCATCACTGAAACCATTTCAAAGAGGATAATGAAGAATTTCATCACCAGTTTCCTCCTTCACTGATGCAATTCTGAAGACCAGATGGACGGTCGGAGACGACAACATTGAACACTGTCTGGCAACGAACCACTAAAAAACAATATTCTGAAAGGAAATGGCGATAGATGAATTGGACGTCACGCACTAGGCAGGCCATCGAACTGTACTTGGATAGAAAGTGACCAGTTGGCGGTCTGTGGATAATGTTTACATGGTCAGGTGAAGAGGAATTAGAAGCTTGCTGGCAGTTGTCAAACCAGTTGTAAAAGATAGCAGAAAACTGAGTCTAATAATAATAATAGTAATCCGCTACTCTGTGGCAATAAATAAACTAAGTTCATGAAATTGGTGTTGGATTATCAATCTACAACAATTCACCGTAATGAATAAAACTAAGGCACGACAAAAAAGAAGGTAAAATGAACCTAAATATTAAAAATAATCGGAGAAATTGGTGCTATTCAGAATAGTTGAAATTTTTACTGTTAACTTACCTGTTCACACATTGACAGTAAATTTGATGCTTGACGTACATAATACTTTAATGCTGGCCTACTCGTATAATAACCAGTCCAGTATGAGTGTGGACCACTTGCATATGGAAAGAAATCTCCACCACGTCGATTAATTTCACCTATTTGATTGAATTCTTCATTCACTGCTTTTGTATAACAAGCTGGTGTTGAATACAGTAGATTTACTCGACTTCCAGCTGATTTTTGACGTTGATTAGTGTATGCGATTAATTTGTCCATATTTTTATAATTGATATTAGCATTTTCGTAGGTAAAATCACAACCCATCAAAACCATTACATGATTTGTTTTAAAAGCTTTCGATATTGTATTGATATAATTTAAAAATTCATCCACTCGTGACTTGACATTATAACCTTCAAGTGTCGGATCATCTTTGATCGGTTCATCAAGACACTTATCATCAAAACAGAATGATTTTGGATAACAATATGAATCATGAAACATACTTGTGAATAGGCCATAACCTGTTTCATTCATTTCTACACCTGTATCCCACAGAACTTCTAATTGTTTAAATCGTTTACGTGCCGACTTCTCACGATAATCCATACGTTGAAAGTAGACACCATCATAACCGGATTCTAAAAGTAAATCAGAATGATCACGTGAATGACCGAATGGATCGATTTGCCAAGCAACTAATGGGAGACCACATTTGCCGAATAACTGTTTCAGCATATCTCGACCAAGTGTTAACTGGTCAATAGCATCCCCGTAATAGACTGTTGCTTCATCAGCCATACTCCAACCGCCTAGAGCAAACTGCAATCGACCCGACTGGACTAGATCTTTAACTATTTGACGTTTTGTCAAAGTCTGTGCAGTCCACCATCTCATGAAAAATGCCATTTCAACATATGTAAATTTTCGATTCGGATCGTCAATAAGAGCTTGTATAACACTGTCTAAGATGTACTGGACACCTGCACGTTGAATTGTATTATTTGCACCATAATAATATTGATCTACTGTTTTCAGCCAACCGACATCATCATGTGTATGCGGTACTAAATGAACATTCAGATATCCTGGTTTCCCTAGATTGCACGACTGGTAGCCACATTTAGGCTTATGAAAATATCTGAAGATATTTTTAAAAGTGTATGCATCAGTATTAATTAGGAAGCATTCGACTAGGAATATGAGTGATAGGAGTAGAATTCCATTGAATTTAAACGAACGTCTATTATATGAGTATAACATATTAAAAGTGTGAATTAAAATGATCACATCAACTGATATGGCATAAATTAGTGAATTGATCGGTCTGTTTGTGACATAAATGTGTGTATGAATGTGCATTCATGTATATTGTAAGAGTGTATGCTTGTATACTGTATTCGTCCAATTAATGTTATTTGTTAATGTTGGCACTTATGACAGGCGTAAATGTCCTTATATTTATGACCATGTATATACCGAAATATGAATGGATGAAACCAAAGAAACAAAGGTTGAAAATGTTAAATTTTCATTTATAGTGACACTGTTATGCATCATAACACTATTCCATCATGGGTAAAACTTATTTTGATAAAGTCTCACAGCGTTATACTGTAATATTCACTGATGACGTTTCGAACAAAATTTATTGCTCATAATCATATCAAGGTACCCACACAACTTTCTAACTTCGTTTATAGAATTCCATTAATTTCCATCGCTTGATTTGATTGGCAGTAGCATTTTCCATATTTCCGGTATGAGTGATGAGTCATTCCTATTGCACGTGTTACGTGTAGACTCGATGAACAAGGATTGAGTAATCAACCCCTCTCTATATCCACCTACCTATATCACTTCTTAGAACTTTAACCCTCTCACACCACCCTATTGTATGGTTGTGTGTTAATGCATCCAATGCGATCACTGAGCTCTTTTCTAAATTACTTATCTTTTCGGGGTTAACCATTCTTACCTTAGCTAAATTCTTATATTCTGACAATCTGACTATCCCCAACCTACTAGTTTGATCTATGTAGTTGACCTCACTCACAGCCATTGAAGGGGATATTGTAAATTATATTATTTTGTCTAATTGGGTCCTTTAACCCACAGAGCTTCTCCCTTATATATTCTTTCTTAATTATGTCATCATTATCAGTTTCCCCATTATTTTTATTTTGTCCTTTTCTGATCTTCTTAATAAATTTTATAGGATAGTTATTTGACACCAAAGTTTCTTCTATCTGTTTCATTTCATCATTTGGATCTTTTCTTGTACTATTTAGTGCTACTGCTCGGTTGGTTAGACACTTAACTACTAAGCCTGCCTTCACAGACAGTTAACGGATGAGGTGATCAATTAAAGTCTAAATATCTATTAGAGTGCAGAATGCGCTGGTATTGCTTCTTGTAAACGCTAGTGTGCAGTCTACCTTCTTCTATTCGTTTTACTTTACAATCTAACATAGCTAATTCTCCTTTTACATTTTCCGATTCAAATGTCAGTTTTATTCGCTCTACTATTGAGTTTATATGTGTCAAGATGCTAGAGCTATGTTCTGTTTTTAACACTGTGTGTAAAAGCGTTATCCACATATCTCCACCACATTTTTGGAGCAGGATTAAATGAATTAAGCGCAATATTTCCAAGCTGTCCTCACATCTTTAAATTCCAAAGCAAAATATATAGACAAAGAGAGGGTGTGGTAATAAGACCACAAATGTCCCCTATCGTAACAGATATGTTGATAGATAGCTGGGAAAATATTGCTCTTAATACATTTAATCCTACTCCAAAAATATGGTGGAAATATGTGAATGACAGTTTCTTGACTGGTCCATCTGAATAGGTCCGTTAGAAGAAGGAAGGACGGCGTTACCTGTCATTGTCTTTTCGTAGTCTCCGCTTACGCCCCAACAGACTGCAGTTCGAAAGAACTAAAGGATGATTTCTACCTGAAACTGTCTAATTTCCTGCAAAAAGCAAAACGTTCAGATATAGTTGTTTTAGCAGGCGACTTCAATACCCAAGTAGGGAAGTTATGCCCGACTGAGAAGTATGTAGGTCGTACGTACGCAGTTCCTTGCCGACGAACCGACAACGGTGATCGTCTTCTCCAGTTTTGCTCAGATAATCACCTGTTCCTAGTCAGCACTAACTTTAGGCACAAAGAGAGACACTGCTTAACCTGACGACCTCCATCACCAAATCAACGCTGGAGTCAAATAGACCACGTAGAGATAGGGTATCGTTGGCGAGGGTCAGTAGAAGACTGCCACTCCTTCTGGAAAACGTGTGTAGACTCTGATCACGCTTTGATCCGTGCACGTTTATGCTTACGATTAAACGGACATAAGAAATTGATGGCAGCGAAACAGTCACGTGCCCAACTAGATCGAGACACTGAGTCCCTATTTAAGGAAGAAATAGCGAAACAAGTGTCTGAGGTCGACAGCAGGACTTCCCCTGTGGTAGCCTAGCACAACATACAGTTAGCTGTAGACACGGCTGTAAAAACTGTTAATAACATGAAACCAAAAGTTAGTAAGAGCCATTGGATCTCTACTACCGCATCTAAACTGATTGATGCAAGAAGACTGATTCCGGCGAGCTCCGATTATGATGAGGAGCGAAAGCTACTCAAACGCAAACTAACAAGAAGCCTTCGTAACGACCATGAGCAATAGTGGGCGACAAAAGCGGAAGGGATGGAGCAGGCATCGGCGATTGGTGACACCATACAACTATTTAGACTTATCAGGGAAACAGGTGGGTAAAGGCAAACGATAAGTGAAACCATCTCTGAGGAAAATAGCACCATAATTAACTCCCAGCATAGACGACTAGGACGTTGGAAAGAACACTTTGAGGAACAGTTTAAATGGCCTACAGCCACACTCAACTTACCCAGCATCCAACACCTCCCTGAATGGAACATAGACACAGGTCCTCCGTTCCTAACTGAGGTTACTAAGGCTGTCACTAGTCTGAAACGAGGCAGAGCAGCAGAACCTCATGTAATGACTCCAGAGGTATTTAAGTACGGTGGAGACAGTTTACTGTCTGCGTTAACTGAGGTACTAGGCGGCGTCTGGGAATCAGAGAAAGTCCCGACGGGTTGGTGTAAGTCACTGATTATCCCGATATACAAAAAGAGACAAGTCTTCCTGTGATAATCACTGGAGGATTAGCTTGACTATTATAGTGGTATCTAAAGTCCTAGGCTGAATAATCATATGTAGACTAAGCGGTGCTCTAGAGGAAAACACACGAGAGAGCCAGGAAGGCTCGAGACTATGAAGAGGTTGTATTGATCATATCTTCACCTTTCGACAGATTCTGGAACTTAGGCATATTTACCGACGTCCAACAATCATCATATTTTTTGACCGCAAAGCGGCATTTGACTATATTGTCCTAGAGGTACTATGGTGATGTTTGGCTGTGAAAAAAATGCCGAGAAAATGCATTGCACTGATCAAGGCACTCTACTCGAACTAATGCAGCCAGGTTGAGGGCTTACGGCGAAATGTCATCTCAACTGGTGAAAATAGTGGTGTCCGTCAGCGATGCTCACAATCCCCATTTCTATTCAATTTCATCAGAGATGGACTTAAACCTAACTCACTTTTCTTTAATTACAGATTGATTCCACATAGTATTTTTTGGTACAGGTATGGAATTTTCAGCATGTGATATCGGTAGCCCAAATTTTGCAGGCCAACCATAGATATCAGGTGTGCGTCGGCAAGGGATCGAAACGGGACCATGTGCATGGTCGGCCAGAGTCCTAACCATTGTGGCACCGAGACTTCAGAGACTCAGGGATTGACTTGTTACCAGGAAATAATCTCGTCGACTTAGAATATGCAGATGATATAGTCCTGGCACCTAGGTGGACACGCTGACAAAATGCAGTCTTCTAAACACCTTGAGCTGCAATCTGCGAATGTTTGGTATGCGATTCGCTCACACCATATGTAAGATGATGCTACAGGACTCGACTGGACTGGACTACATTGACTCACGCCTAGCTTAAAGATAGGCAGGAGCGAAGTGGTTGGTGGAGCGTGTTGACCACTTCACTTATTTGGGAAGTTGCATCAGCCAACGCCAACGACTTGATCGCTGACGAAAGGGCTCGTTCCGCATATGCCAGTTTACGCCGTCTCTGGCGTACACGTGATATACAGCTATTGACCAAAGGACATGTGTACTGTCCAACAGAAGTTCACTCCGTCCTGCTTTATGACTGTGAGACCTGGCCATTGAGAGTGGAAGACATGAAAAGCCTGGCTAGCTGTCTTTGATCATAGGTGCCTGAGTTCTACCTCCCGTGTGAAGTGGTATAATAGGGTAAACAACATTGAGGTTAGACCTCGGTCGAGTACTAGGTAAGGAGGGGAAATCAATAGATGAGGCTGTCAATTTACATCGACTGAGATAGTTAGGACACGTGTTACGCACGCCTAGCAATTCATCGCCTTCCTCGACCGACGGGCAATATTACCTGACATAGAGTCAGCATAGAAAAGAACTGCTAGTGGTGGAAAAGCCAAAACATGGCTTCATCAGTCAATGAAGAAATCCACAACAGTTAGTTTAAGCCAGCCAGCCACGTCGGGAGGTGTAAACTTTCTGCCGGTTGGGGTCCTCGAGACGGTAAACACCAACGAAGGCTGGAGACAATTCGTGATATGGCTCGAAATCGTTCTTAATGGCTGGCACAGATGCATCCATTCCTTGTGACATAATACCAAATAAAACTATATTGTTCTTCGATATTACTATTCTTTTTGCCTCAAATCTTTATTCTGCATCGCTTTTTACTTTCGTCTTTGGTCTTGTGGGATTCATGAAGTGTGGCGACTCGAACTGCTGCACATTGGTGCAAAGTTGTATGTTGAAACGAGTCAGTCATGGGTGGCGTATAGTTTGGTTATATATGTACCGCACTTATGCGGGACGGTTAATCATCATCTTACCAGGTGAAGTAAGCGCAGTGGGATTGGATCCAGTACCCCATTGGCTGAAAGTGTCGAGACAATGTCCCACCCATATATTGGAATGCTTTCATTCGATGTTACTCTGTGATATGGTATTATTTACTGATGAATTTTCGAGTACACTTCACTGTCTGTAATCATAAGATTAAAAATACTTTACAATGAATGTGAGGTCAGTTACAGTTATGCAGGTCAACCCAGTAGGTGGAGGTTAGTTAGATTATCGCAACACAGGAATTTAGATTGGTGAAGGATTATTAACGCTAAAAGGTAATCAGCTACAACATTGCACTGAGCGTACAACCACACACACAACACACATTTTAAAGGGTAATGTAATTGTGAATGGAGTTGACGTGGAGGTTACTGAATCTCTTTTTTCATCGAGTATACACACTAAACCGATGCAATAAAGTCAAACAACAGGAAATAATCAATCTATATAAGTAATCTGAAAGTTTTATGATGAACATATATATATATATATGTATTATGAGCAATGCTATTGTATTTGAAATATATTGTCAGTAGATAAATGATACTGTATCACTCACCGTCTTAATTACTGAGTGTCAGTTCATTCTGAAGTGTTACTTCAACACACACACACACACACGCACAAGTGTACGACTAACAACTCAAATACTCTTCCTGAAGATTTACTACACTGCTGTAGGGAAAAGATAGTGTGACTATAAATTTACAGGCTTATTGTATGGTTACTTCAAATGACCAAATAAATTACTAGTTTGAGATCTAAGAAAGATATTCTGACTGGAATTGACTTTTAATCTACCTTAAGGTCAAGTTAAATATCTACTTCAGAAGTCAGATGGGAAATACCAAATCATAATATTGTCCATCTTCCTCTCCTAATAGGTATATGAAGTGAAACTATATATATAATTCATGTTGTACCCGAGACTTTATCATAACGTCTTATTTCATCTGATTGATTTCTTCTCCTTTTTCTCTCATCTTGTTACACTACAGCCTCTGTTTATCTTGCCTGCATTTCTTTATTTCTCCATTTGACATAAAATATGACAGTGTGTAGACTACTGATGGTCTATCAATAGTGCTGGGACCTAATAATGCTTTACAAATGTAGAGATGAACATCACTTCTAAAATTCATGGTTAATGTGGTCATGATTTATTTGTTCGATCGTTCAACAAATAAACTAATTTCATTTAAATTGTTAGATTTCGTCACGAACTAACACTATTTAGAGAGATGCTTGAAAGAAGACCACGGTGGACTGGTGCACACTTGTTTCAGTTTATATTTTGGCATTGATCAGCCATGCGCTCCCCCACGACCCCACCGGGGGTTGGTCGAACATGGAAAGTTGATGTATCCATATTTTTATTCCTAGATGATATATTAAATAACAACAGAGAGCAGGGGAAGTGGATCTATTGGAAGCGCTAGGATTGAACACCTCGTCAGCACATGTCAAAATATCACAGCTAACTCATCATTTGCAGCTATTCACAAAGTGAACAAAAATCTTCTAGAGACAATGCTTCTTCCGACTACATTGAGAAACCAGAACTGCGTTTTGAAAAGAAGCTAGCTCGACGTCTGCATCTAACTATGAACTTAGTTTTTCTCCAATTCCTTTATGTGTGTTTTTCCTCCTCATCTTGCGTTATGAAATATTATTCCAGTCAAATTCTATGCACATTCTGATCCCATGTGTCTTTGACGAAACACTATTATTATTATTTTACATGACGCTGAACTTTTTATCATCTCTCTAATTTCCTGGTAGGTATTTTCTACGAATTGACAAGAACTAACTGGCTGTAGATGTGTTGTTGTAAATGAAAAAAAGAGAATCTGGAATCAAGAAGAGGCAGTGTGTTAAATGGGAAATAAAGGGTGTATTTGCGAAGTGTAATTTATTTTATCTACAATAATTTTGAAAATGTCTTCCCTCTTCTCTATGTACACAACAACATCAAAAAAAGAAAGTTCACATGAGAAAGAAGTATATCCACATTCCTAGACCAATTGTACCTAATGAAAACCTGAAAGAAAAGATACATAATATATGCATAATACAACAGAATAACTAACACACAAGGCATTTATGTGAAATAAATACTAATTTAAATATATGGAAAACGAAGCATATATATATATATACATCGAGCTCAGATTACTTCCATAGACTGCTTTCTGTTTTGTTTTTTGTCTATTGACTAGTTAATAGCTGAATGACATCAAGGATCATGCCACTGGCTGGTTTGATGGGGCGATATGACAGTTTTTTGCGCCCAATAAGACGGCAGCATTGAGTGGTAGCTTTTATGCTACTGAAGAAGAACAGAGCATTTAACGAACAAGAGGGCTGAATCATACTGTCTTTGTTTGCATTTATTTAGTTTGTTAAAATTCAGTTACATGGAACTCAGGTGGTCATGAGCCACTCCCTTACAGTCTAACCGCACTGCTGACACTACGAAGTTCGCCAGGCTGGTTACATTCAAACCTGCGGACCCAATCGATTAGTGGCAAATGCCTAAACCAGTAAGTCACATCCTAACTCTGTGTGTATGTGTACTTGTAGAAGAAACAGAAAAGCGATACAAAACTTCAGAATTACATAATAATACGGTTTATTCCATCTCTTTAGGTTATATCTTCGTTTACTGTCTTATCATTGTATTCACCTCCTTCCCGACCGAAAGCTGCTACCTTGACGTGGTGGTCGGGCTTGAATACCGCAATGACCCAACAGGCTATACTGGCTGAGACTTTCGTCGCTTGAGGTCCTACCATGCCAGAAAGGTTGTTTGGATAGCGGTTAGACAAAAAGCAGTTACCCAACCCAATCCTATGACTCCAAATAAATCACAAAATATCATGCCGGATCGGTCGGGACCCGGATTAACAACGACCGCGCTTCCTGCTGCTGTGTCGCAGGGCAGAAGTGATAAATGTGCTACTGAGACACACCAAATAAAAAAGAACAAACAAAAACAGGCCGTGTGTGACCGGCCTCAAGCAGTTGTCCCCTGGGCTCTGCGGTCACGCAACCAACTTCCACGGTGTGGGCAGCCGGGAAGTAACAATCGCCTTCACAATCCCAAGTGCACGCGAAACCTCTCTAATACTCACTCATCTTTGTCTTCATCCTCATCTCTATGATCTTGCCTTCCTTCTACTAATGCAACTCCACTACTTAATGGCTCTTCACTTCCTCTTCACTCTGTGTGCACTGAAAACGACGGAAGCCAAAAAACCACCATCAATAGTCTCCTAAAGCCACCCCACCAATTTCATATAGGGGCATTTAATGTTAGGACACTTTGCCAAATAGGACAACAAGCATCACTAGGCAAGACTCTGGCATCCCGAGCCATTGATGTATGTTGTGTTTCAGAAACACGCATACAAGACCCAAGTGTGGTTATTGCGTCGGTGCCACAGTGGTTAGGACTCTGGCCGACCATGCACATGGTCCCGTTTCGATCCCTTGCCGACGCACACCTGATATCTATGGTCGGCCTGAATTTGGGCTACCGATATCCATGCTGAAAATTCCATACTTGTACTGAAAATACGGTGTGGAATCAAGCTGTAAATCAAAATAAAAAAAATAAAAAATATTCACCTAACCCCACCTGGCCAACAGGATGAATCTGCAAAATTCACCTTGAGGGTGTCAGGAGATGCCACAGCTAGCTGACGAGGATTAGCTGGTGTTGGGATAGCTTTGAGTACTAGGGCAGAAAAGACATTACTTGACTGTATCCCGGTGGATAGCCGAATGTATGCTGTCCGTCTGAACGGATCAGTGAAAAGGAGAAAGGACTGCACTACCCGCCGATGCCTTTTCGCAATCTCCGCCTACGCCCCCACTGACTGCAGTTCGGATGAAACGAAGGATGAGTTCTACCAAAAGCTGTCTAGTTTGCTGCGAAAGGCTAAACGCTCAGATATAGTCGTTTTAGCTGGTGACTTTAATGCTCAAGTAGGGAAATTGTGTCAATCTGAGGAGAATGTCGGTGGCACATACTGAATTCCCTGCCAGCGAACCGACAACGGTAACCGTCTCCTACAGTTCTGTTCAGATAATCATTTGTTTCTTGTAAGCACTAACTTCAAACACGAGAGACACTGTTTGACCTGGCGACCCCATCATCAAACCAACGCTGGACACAAATAGACCACATAGCAATAAGCTATCGTTGGCGTGGGTCGGTGGGAGATTGTCGCTCCTTCTGGAACATGTGTGTAGATACCGATCACTCACTGGTCCGCGCTCGTGTGTGCTTACGACTGAACGGACGTAGGAAACAGCTAGCGGTAAACCCATCACGTCCCCAGCTCCATCAAGAAACTAAGTCCCTATTTGAAGAAGAACTAGCTAAACACATATCTGAGTTCGACAGCTACGCTCACCCTGAAGAAGCTTGGAAGAATATTCAGTCAGCCATAGATACAGCTGTAAAAGCTGTGAATAAGGTAAATCCAAAGGTGAGTAAAAACCATTGGATTTCGACTGCCTCATCCGAACTGACAGATGCTAGAAGACTTATTCCGGCGAGCTCCGAATTCAATGAGGAGCGAAAGCTGCACAAAAGGAAACTTACGAAAAGTCTCCGCAAGGACCGTGAACAGTGGTGGTTGACAAAGGCGAAAGAGATGGAAAAAGCTTCGGCGATAGGCAACTCTTTAGACTCATCAGGGAAACGGGTGGGAGAAGGCCAATCATAAGTGAGACCATTTCTGAGATAAATGGCTCCTTTATTAGCTCTCAGGATAGACGCCTCGAACGCTGGAAAGAACACTTTGAGGAACAATTTAATTTGCCTACAGCCACACTGAGCCTCCCCACCATCCAGCACACACCCGAATGGGACATAGACACTGGCCCGCCGTCTGTAAGTGAGGTCACAAAAGCTATCTGCAATCTGAAACGAGGCAAAGCGGCAGGACCCGACGGAATTATTCCGGAGGTGTTTAAATATGGGGGTGACATACTAGTATATAGTTTAACTAAGGTACTAGGTAACGTCTGGGAATCAGAGACGGTTCCATCAGACTGGGGTAAGTCACTTATTATACCAATATTCAAGAAGGGAGACAAGTCCTCATGTGATAATCATAGGAGGATCAGCCTGACGAACATAGTCTCTAAAATCCTAGGCTCAGTAATCATGCACAGACTAAGCCGAACTCGGGAGGAACAAACGAGGGAAAATCAAACAGGCTTTAGACCGGGTAGAGGGTGCATAGATCATATCTTCACTCTCCGACAGATCCTAGAACATAGATACACTTTTCGGCGTCCAACAATGGCCATATTTCTTGACTTGAAGGCGGCCTTCGACTCCGTGAATCGAGAGGTACTATGGCAATGTTTAACTGTGAAGGGAGTGCCAAGAAAGTACTTTGCACTAATCAAGCCACTCTACTCAAACTCACGTAGCCATGTAAGGGCTTATGGGGAATTGTCATCCGTCAAGGATGTCCACTTTCCCCTTTTCTGTTTAACTTCATCATAGATATGCTAATGGAAGTATCCTTAACGACTTAGGAATCGAATTGTTACCAGGGAATAGTCTTATGGACTTAGAATATGCAGACGACATAGTCCTGTTAGGGGAGGATGCTGACAAAATGCAGAGTCTTCTAAACACCTTGAGCAGCAATCTTCGTATGTTTGGCATGCGATTCGCCCCTGTAAAATGTAAGATGCTGTTACAGGAATGACTGGACCACGTCAACTCCTAGCTTAGTGATAGGGAGTGAAGTGATAGAACATGTCGACCACTTCACCTATTTGGGAAGTTGATTGGTGACGAAATCTCAGCACGGATCCAAAAACCTCGGGCTGCTTTCGCTAACTTACACCGTCTCTGGCATAGGCGTGACATCCGACTATCAACCAAGGGACGTGTGTACTGCTCAGTAGTTCGCTCCGTCCTTCTCTATGGCTCTGAAACATGGCGGATGCGAGTTGAAGACATGAAAAGGTTGTCTGTTTTTGATCATAGATGTTTACGATCTCTTTCTCACGTTAGATGGCATAATAAGGTAAGTAATGTTGACGTTAGGCGTAGAGTGTTGGGCAGAGAGGGAAAATCAATCGAAGAGGCTATAAAGTTACACAGATTGAGATGGTTAGGTCACGTGCTGCGTATGCTCAACCATCGTCTCCCCCGACGGGCATTACTAGCTGATATAGGTGCAGGTTGGAAAAGATTAAGTGGTGGCCAAACAAAAACATGGCATCAATCCATGAAATCCTTGACAGTTAAACTGAGTCAGGTAGGGAGATGCAGACTTCCGGGTTGGGGCCCTCGGGACTCTAAGAATCAATGGCTGGAGACAATAGGTGACATGGCTCAAAATCGTTGTCAATGGCGCAGATGTATTCAGTCTCTTTAACCTTCATATTCCTTTCTACCATTACTCATTCTGTTTCACTTTTATACTTGTCAAAACTCTATTGATTCTCTTCCCTCATTTTCTTGTCTAGCTTTGTGTGCTATTTGGAACGTGGCAACTCGAACTGCTGCACTTCGGTGCCAAGTTCTATGTTGAATCCAGACAGCAGCCAGCTTAAGTTTGGGTGTTTTAAAGTGTAAAAAAATTGAAACGAAACATTTGATGGAGAAGATTTGTAGCTCAGGTGGGTTGGTTTAGACGTGTCTCTGAGGTGGGTAATTTCAATTTTGAAGCTTTTATCAGAAGTAGTAGTTACTGACTGCAATCATGGGGAATTCTAGAAGTTAATTTCATTTTGAAGTTAACACTGAAGGCTTTTTGAAGATGTAGAAAAGCTTAGCAAATAAAAATAGTGAGGCACCTATTTTAAAGAAGCACATTTTTAAGATTTGTTGATTTCATAAATTCTTATAAATACCTCCAGAAAAAAGTAACATATAAGCCGGAGAAGAGAAAGATACCCGCAACAGTAGGAATTGTTGAATACAAAAATAGGCTTTTGTCTACTCTATGCAACATATTTGATGCAGTAAATCATCTACATACTGAATTAGGTGAAAGGTGATACGCGCTAGGTGAAAGCCAAATGTTTCAGCTCCACGTCAAACGACCCATATACTGGGTGCCAACAAGAATGGGTGGGCTGATATATATATATATATATATATAACTGAATTAAGTATAAAACTTGGGCACAGTATAACACTGTGATTTATCAAAAATAAACACTGAAAAATAAATGTGCACCAAGTAAGGCACAAATATGAAGGAAAATTAAATCCTGTTGCAATCATTTCCTTGAGATAATCGAATGACAAACACTGTGAACAGAGTCAAAAAGAATAGAGCAATAACAACAACAACAACAACGACCCATGAATATTACCAGGTGAAGATATATGAGGCATGTTCATTGCGTAGTGTAACTCGAGTTTGTCCACCAACAGGTCCACCAACGAAGGTTGATTCTAAATAATTAGAGAAGACAATTTGTACAAAAGATCTTTCAGAGATTTGATTCATTTCAAGCTAAATCATAAAATGATATTTTAGTAAAAAGAAATCATTGAAAGTCAGGGATAACTACTTAGTCCTAGTTCAACAGCAGACTTACAGTCTCAAGGAATAGAGAATTCAAGACTTTACAGCCACTGAGTTTGAATACAATGACCTGTGTTTCCTAAATTCTGTAAATTCGCGATATAATGCTGCCAGCAGCCGGGTGCCGTCGATAAGCGTTCGCTTCAAACCACCGCTTCTCATTAGAATTGCGAGATATCCACCCAGTAGCCATTTTAATGAGCAGGAGATTGATGTTCACGATTTTGGGTAGCGGGTAAGCACCAACTACTAAGGAGGCTCAAACTAAGACGAAACAGCTGTCCAGTGTTCTCTGGTTTTCAATAATTCTTCGACTGAAATATACATGGGAATTATTTCCAAAACTATACAAACGCTATCTTAATGATGCGAGTAGTGATAAGCTTTCACCAACAAAAGTCTGATTACGTCTAGCCAAATACCATCGGTTATTTTATCCATTCACCGAACTACATAGAATGTCTGACAATCCATGAATGACATAGAATCAAAGTCAGCAGAATAATGGTGATAAAATATTAGCTACATAACATCGTCTTAAAATGACAGCACACAGATTCTCTAGTATATACAATTTGGTCAAGAATCTTCCCTCACCTATACATATATATATATATATATATATTATACGTTTGATCTCGTCACTAACAAACATATTGCTATACTGAACAGCACCAATTCATCTAAGAAACTTGTGGCTGGAAACTTAATGGAAGAGTAGGACCTGGGCGCTGTGGCAGAACATAATTCCATATTAGGTAAGTTTACTTGATATAACTACATGAAGACGCAGCGAGACTATCTGACGAAATCTCAAATCGATACACTGATATTAATAGAACCAGCTAGTTATCAGGCTGTCACTGGCACAAATTTTGCTGTAACCTAAGTCTTCATTTCACCTTAAAATACCATTCATTACACAAACGCCAAGTTGTATTCACAATGTGACGTTCGCCTATCTAGGTAGTTGTGTGAGTGCTGATATTGTGAGAGCAAGGGGAGGGCAATTACTGACACCACTGTAACATTGACCTAGTTGTCAAAGGCCGGATTTAAAATGCTTTAGTGCGCGCATTTTGACCTTATGCCCTTCGAACCTTGCCTCACCGAGCTGAGAATATGTGACGACTCTTGTGTGAGATCACCACTCCCTCCGTAGAACCGCTTGAATTCGGTGGCATTATATAATTAATTTTGATATATGACAATGTGCATTTAGACATGATGAAAAGCGTTTTTCGATGTGTTGCTATCTTGTTACACCGACTCTAATGGCTTGAGTATATCCCACGAATGTCATCCCAGCAGCACTCGTAGCGTTCACTGATAACTAGTCCTGCTATACAATGCAGAAAGCGTGGGAGTGGTCAGTCTTTGACGTAACGCCATGAAATGAAGGGTAATTGTGTCAGGTTAGCATCTATTGGTGTATCACGATTCTCTGGGTGCCTTGAGATTCGTGGTTGAAGCCCATAATCAATAAAGAAAGTACTGTACAGTTTCCTCCTTTTTTTCTGCTTTTTTGAAAGTAACATGATTAGTATGCTTGCTTGTTCTAACGATCCCGCCTGTTTCTCATGTGTTGTGTTTCACTGGGTTTTTTTGTGTGGTGCATCTCTTGGGGTCCACATTGAACCAGGTTAGTTTTTAAATAAGTAAAATAGAATAATGTGCATTTTAATTAGTGAAACGGAAAGACACATACAGGCTCAAGCTATAGAGAGTGTTTATAGACTTAACAGATGTACTAATTCTCGAAAATAAAGTCTCAAAAATCTTATAAAACCAACCAATATTTAAGAGGATATTAAATCCTTTATTAGTTGTTGTTAAACACTTTGAGATCAGTATAAACGGAAGTAATTACTTCTTGAACCTACCATAGTCAGCATCAATAAAAATCGGCAATGTTTTCAAATCTTCACACATCTTCTCAATATATCGGCAAGGATAACGAATGTGAGGATTTTGATTCTTTTGATCCAGACACATGAGATAACTAGTGTCTGCACCAAATATTCGGAGTGGTGGCTGGAAATGAAATACAAATGGTTGGATGTTAAACCTACTGGCATTATCAACACAGTGATTACGTTAACCAGCACAAATTGTTTAATTAACTGATAAATGAGAAGAATACAAAGAATATTGATATCAATTGTTACAGATGGTAAGAAAAAGGTTTGTTGCCATTACTTACTTATTCATTCATCTACTACTTGCATTCCGAGTGGAGCGCAGGGCTTCATAGACACATTGCTATTGTACTGGCTTCTCAGACATCAACTCAACCGATTCCACAATTGTCCGTAAGCTTTTATTTTCACCTAACATGACTTCCTCCTCTCACATCACCCTCTGACATTCAACTTGTCGTTCCCCATTCGGGTTCCACTCTGAAACCTGTCGCATAATGCCACTGGAATGTCTCCCCCCAGTGTATGTGCACTCCATTTCCATTTCCTTCTGAACATTTGTTGGGCAATAGGTTGTTGCCTAATTCGTTACGCGGTCATAGTTTTTTTATTGCTTATCCTTTCTGTCCAGCAATCTGATCTTCAGTATCCAGACAGCTAAGGAGGCCACTGAGGATGGATATCTGCAGTAGCCAATTGGAAATCCTTTTGGTGATGTCCACTCCAAGTCTGAGTTAAATAGAAGCATCCGCTGACTTGACATTAGTGTGTGGCGCATCTTTCTTGGTGCCATATTGTACCAAGTTTTTTTCTGCGTTTAAATAAATAGTGTTGAAAATTCTGATCTTGCTCCCGGTGTTGAGTATTATAGAGATCTTCACACTGATCACTGAGTTTTGACTAGTGAACGCATGTCTTGCTTTCCTCATCCTGGCTGGCTATGACATCCATATCCGTGCCGTCTGTCCAGGGTTAGTGAAGAAGACAACTTCCTTAGGATTTCTCCCACTGATGTTGATTGGTATTTATTGTTGCAGTTATCACCCGTCAGACATCTTCATTAATTCTAACTACTGTATATGTCTACTTGAAGTCGTGTCTTCAAAGAAGCGCTTATTGATTATGATTAATTAGCAGAAAAGTCAGAAAAAGCTTGTTTTATTTTTACTAACAGAATCAGAAAAGACAGTATCCTTAGTGACTCAAGGGTTCTCTTTGTACTCTAAACATGAGATTCACTTACTAAATAGGTGTTCATCATAATCACCATATGGCGAAAAAAACTAATTGAAACTCAAATGTGAAGAAAAGCCATGTGAAATTATACAACTAACAATAAGTGGTTCCATACTCATCAAACATGTGAATATTCAATTGTTTTCTTAAAAAACAGCTTTGTAAAGAAAGCAAATAATACCTTTTCTGGGTATCGAACATAACCTGACAGTTTTACGGTACCTTCAATCTGAAATCCAAAGGAGAAAAATCAATTAAGCATTAATATGTGTAAAACTTGGGCGCTGTGTTAGTCAGTAATTTCATACTAATTGATATGTTTATGAACAATAAATTTTGTTCGAAATGTCAACCAGTAAATAATACTGTTACACTGTGTGATACATCTAATAAACAAACTAATATGGAATCAATTAAGTATTGTATAAATTACAACAAACTTTGAATGATTAGTTAGTTAGAACTCAGTTAAGCGGTACCAGGAAATCAGTCATAAAATTGTTACCTGAGGGTTAATAACACTACCACTCAGTGGTTCAGGTCGAGATGTAGGTGAAGTGTGACTTGAACCTGGATAGATATCTGGCTGAATGATGAATGGTTTTACACACCAGTGAGCCACACACCCACTTCAAATGGCAAACGAAGACAAGTTGATTACAGTTTGCAGTAACTATTTATAAAGACTAAGTGGAATAAATTTTAGCTTCCTACTATACGGTGTACACATACACATGAAAAATACATTAGAAGCTTTGCAATTATTAGGTAGGTCATTCCACAAGTAACAGACTGATTAACTATATAATGACAGGATATGTACGGGAGACAGAATAAGTGTACATATGGAGAATAACAGGAAATTGATAGATCTAAGTGTTCATAAAGAGCGAATACGTACATGCCAGTGAGGAGGATTTCTGAACCATGTTAAAAATAGTCTCCAGTCATTGACTTCTGGTGTCTCAGAGATCCAACCAGGCAGACAGACAACTCCTTGTGAATCAAATCAACAGTCAAAGACCTCATGAATTTACGCCAGGTTTTGGTTTGACCAGAGCCCTAACTCTTTTTTTAACTGACTTTGTCAATGAACATAAACATTTCTTCGATGAAAAACCCAAATACTTCTATTTATCAGAATATAATATTCATAATGACCATTATAAAATCATATCAGTATGTGGAATTTAGAACACAAAATATAGGTGAAAGCATTTTGAAAGATGAGTATTAAGACTCATCTACAGCAAAGGGCAAAAGATGCAACGTTATAAAAAATGTACTGGACTGAATAAATTTTACTCTTATCTAGCTTCAAACAGAGAATTACTAAAATTATTTCTACTTACCTGTCCATTAGGTCGAATTACAGGGTCACGTGCACCATATGGAACCCATCCACGATTCACTAGTATGGAGGTTCTAGAAAGAAATCAAGTGAACCGATCACGAAATAATGGTGTGTGCATGGAGAAGTTAAACATCAGTATCTACCCAGACAGTGTATTATCAACAAAATAACCTAAATTATATGAGTATATTCACACAACTTCTTAAATTGCTTTATATAATGTAAATCTATTGCAGTCAATGTAAGGAACACTATCCGTATTTTCAACACGAACATCAAGTTAGTGTTTTATTGTGGTTCAGAGACTTGGCGCACGAGTGGACGAAAACATTTCGGAAAAGCTACTGCAGACTTTTATCAAAAGCAGTCTCCTTTTTTGATACTGTTCAAGTTAGCGGGGCCAAACCATTCCAGGTATAGCTGAATTCCAATGTTCTGATAATCCAGTTGATCCCGACCCACTAATTTTATCTATTTATAATTGACCTCAGTCATTAAATGATATTTGATAAATTATACTTTACCAAATTGGATCTATTAGATTCTTACGCCAACATTGTTTATCTTTGAGTGAATTGGATAAGTTTAAATGCTACGATAGTTACAGCTTTGTCAAAAATCCAAAGTAGGCAGCCTTTTTTGTATTTGTTCTTGATATGGGTCAAATATAAATACTTACCCAGGTCTATTCGCAAGAAAAAATGGTGTTACAACGAAATAACCTGAAGCAGACGGAATTGATGTATATGACTGCATTGTATTGTCTTTTCGTCTCGACAGCCATTCTGCTCCATATCCATTGGAAGGTATCATATCTTCTATAAAAGACCGTGGTCCAATTATCACCTCACGTGAATGATCAAAGTGACCTTCAACAGAGATATGAGTAAATTCAGGTAGTTGGAGGCTAGAAGTAATCCTGAAATGGGAAGTATAAATAATAACACGTCATCTCTAATGGAAGATACCAGTTATATATGTACGCAACAAGGCATATACATTATGCAATCAGAAAGAAAGATTTATGACCATCCCATGTCTGAGTACATTCCAAAAATCTTACCACTAAAAAAAATAGGTGAAAAACTCTTCAGAAGTACAACCGCTTACCACCTACCTGACAGATAGTTGTCATGAAATTGACATTACGAAAACATTTAAATAATTAAAGTTTGCGTTAATTCTAGTTTACTATGTAAGGTTGCAGAAGTAGTAAGCACTAAATGGTTAGAACCGAAATTGTGCATTCCCAAAACTGTTACTAATCTTGCTTTACCATGATAAATATACTTTACGTTATTTTAATTATATTTTGTTTTGACGACGTGATTTCCTACCCTTAATTATTTTATCATACACATTCTTGACTTGACTATTTTTTGATCTCTCCTCAACTAAATTACTTAACCTCTCCGGAACGTGTTTTCTCAACTGCACACCTGCATTCAATTTGCAACTAAGGCTACTAATTTTGAAAAGCTGTCTGTCGACATACCTATATAAATTAACGAGCTTAATAACACCCTTATTTCCATCCATAATGCTTTTTAATTGCTTTATACTGAAGGTCTTAATCTTCACGCTCAATAACTCAGATATCTAGAAAATAATTTTGAGCGAAGAATATCCTTTTCGATAATTTCCTCTTCTGCCTCTACAATATATATATATATATATATATATATATATATATACATATGTTTATGCACAAAAAATGTTCTAGAATAGTAGTCATTAACAACATTGGTGTTTTTTAAGTAATATCGATTTGTGATGTAAGATTAATGGGATTACAGTTCACTGAAGAAGCACAAATTACAATAAGCACAAAAAGTGTAATAGCAAATAGAATATCAAATAAAATTAAAGAAATTTCTGCAACAAACTGAGGATCATTGGAGCCTTGATGGCCAAGGTTAGGACAGTGTCTAAACCAGATTCTTGTAGATATATAAGTTAGGTTTCTTAATGTGGATTCCAAAGGCCTCAGCAATATGCAGTAGATGAGCTTTTAATGTGAAGTTAAGATTAACTGGTATGTCTTTGAGAGCCTCATCAGCATCAATCTTGTGTTCTGTATCCACAAGATGAGATAGAATAGTGCTATGAATGGATTTTGTTTATCCTTTACTTAACCACGCAGGATGATGTTCAAAAATCCGACGAGAAACACGCCTAATTGTGCGGCCTATGTAACTGGCTCCACAGTTAAATTGGTAGAAACACATGGAAGAGGCGAAATTAGGCAGTTTATCCTTTACTGCCGAACGCAAAACAGGGGTGAAGACACAGCATAATTCAAAAGCACTGAATGCTCTTTTTACTGCATTCCTGAGGCGCTGTGTTAATATCTCGCTGATGTTATCCCCGAGGAACTGAAGTTGTAAGAATAAGGCCCTTTTCGGAATTGCTGGTACCTTGACCTGTCTTGATTTCTGATTCATATTCTTATCGATGAATTTTCTTGGATAACCATTTTCACTCAGCAACTTTAATAATATTAAGCTCTTCATTAAGACATTCATCAGAGCAGATTGCTCTTGCTCTGTGGTCCAAGTACTTTATTAGATTGTGTTCGTATTTCAAAGGCACGAAGCTGAAGAAGTAAGTATGCTGACTAGTCGATGTAGGTTTTCTATATACACTTCTTCTTATTGTACCATTCTCTTATCCAGTCATGAGGACGTCGAAAAATGAAATACTAGAGTGTCTTTCTTTCTCGATGGTAAAATTTATCACCGAATGAACATTGTTAGATTTGTCCACGATGTTCTTTGCTTCATCCTCATTTTTCATAATCAAAGATGTATCATCCATGTACTGACGGTCGAACTCTAGGTCATCAATTACACCTTTCAAAGGCCCATTTTCTAGTTCTGCAAGGAAAATGTCGGCTAGAATGGGTCCTAGTAGTGACTCCATTGCCACACCATCAATTTATGTGCATAGTCTCTTATTGAATAGGAAGTGAACATTCATTGCGCATTTCAAGAGAAGCTCTTTTATAAAAGATACAGGAGTGCCAACATTGATATCTCGTCTTATGAGTTCTTCGCATACAAAGTCTATTGTTTCCATATGTGGTGCAGTGGTGAATACGGAAGGTACGTCAAATGATATCATGAATTCATTGTCAACATTTAAATAGTTTATCCTTTCAACAAATAGTATACTGGTCGAAGTGATAAACCATCTTTGTGCGCTTTTGGCGGACCATATAAGCTTGTGTGTTTCAGTGATCTGTGCTGACGTAACTTACTTAATGGAGAGTCAGTAATCTACTCCGGTCACCCAGACGACAACCATGAGCATACTGAGGCAGTGAGTGGCTATAATGGTGTCACCAGTGACAGTCAAAACCCTAATGCAGTGGGAACCAATCTCATCCAGGATCATGACAGCAAGATTCAACTCAAAAGGAAGGAAGTTAACAATTATCCAATGCTACAAACAACGCGAAACAAGAGAAGGGGGAAGATTTTCACAGACAACAACAAACAGTAATGGAAAGCATCCCAAATAGTGACATCGAAATCCTTATGGGCGATATGAATGCCAAACTGGGAGCAGATAATACAAGGAGAACTCATCATCATTCGAGAGGCTCTGGCTCGGAGACATGAATGAGAACGGGGAATCATTTGCAGACTCCTCTTTCAGAGATATGATGATCGGAGGGAGCGTCTGCATACACAAGGATATACACAAGCAACATGGATTTTGCCTGACGTAGATGTCAAAAACCAGATAGATTCCATTTCAATTTTGCCTCTCAAGGAAGTGGAGACGCAGCTAGTCTGCTGGACACAAATTTGAGAAGGGGAGCAGATGTGGGCTCAGATTATCATCTAGTTTAAGGGACCTTTCATGTGAAGTTGTAATTCCTAAAAACAACTGAAGACAGGCCACAAATCAAGTTCAACATTCAGAAACTGAAGGACAAAACTATAAGGGATGCCTTCATTACAGATATTACAGCAAAGTCAGATACACTACATGACATCACTGAGGAAACCTGTGGGGAAGAACATTGGAACTCTGTGAAGGTGATATTCTAGGAATGGCTGTTAACGGATACCTGGGAATTGTATGGGTTATGATAACAGTGATAATTACCGCAACTTTTGCAGGAAACAACATACTCGTCAGACAGATGAACAGGTTTAGCAGGAATCCGTGCATTCAGTGTATCAATTAATTCAATTTTCCACTTTCGTCTACGTATCTGCCAAAATCCTAAAGCAAATGCGGTAGCCGGGAAAACCTGGTAGAGGGTGAAAACGATAGAGTTTGAAACAGTCAACCATGAAAATAGTTAAAAGTTGGGAATATACAAATATATTTTGGGTACAAAAAATTGTTACCAGTTTTTGACTGACACTGACTTACTGGTGTCGAACGTTGCACAAGAGTGCAGTAGTTCAATTTGCCACACACACCAAAAAAGAAAATTTCAACGTCACAACAGAGTCGTTTTTGGTAGAGGAATTTTCTTTGACGAAATACAGTGACAAAATACTGAAAGCTTACATTAAAATTTCCACCTGCAAAAGATATTTGTATTCGGATTCTTTCATTGTCCTTTTGTGCATCGTTTCTCGTTTTTGCAACCTAGTCTATCACTCCACTATTTAAGATTCTTGTAGAAGGCATCACGCACGATATGCTAATAGACCTTTCTCAGTAGCATACATCATATGAGTTCATAAGAAATGAATACATTGAGCAATGTTGCAGAGTATAATCCCACCAATGAATAATTTTATTTGATAAAACACTCAGCAATAATGTGATGATGTGTCGCGATGTTTTCTATCAAGCAAATTTATTCTATGATGAATCGCATAGCCTTAGGTGATTAGCATTTACTCAGGAGTAAGAGACAGGCCAAATAACACGGTAAATGTCATTCACAGTTAACAAAATTGTGGTAATTGAATAATCAAGTGTTGTGGTTATTAACTGCTACAACTAACACTAGTCATCACATATTTTATTTCCTGATAAGTGTACTGACAGGCATCGATAGTTCAGTGGTAGAGCGCCAGCCAACCAGGCGAGTGCTTTGGGGTTCGATCCTCGACCGATGTATTTCCTTCAGTCCACTTAGCCGGTATAGAGACCAGTAAAGGGCAAAGATCGGGCGTGAAACTAGCAACTCCATCCGGTAAAAAAACACTAGTATTACTGGAAATTCAAAGCTCTAGCTGCAAGCCCTAAATTCCAATGAGAACGTAAAGGAATAAAATATTGATAACAATAAATGTACTGACGAATAGGACCTTCATACTAGCTGCCTGATTTACCTCGCGTGCGCAGACCATATAATCAGCGGATAGCTGAAGGACACGGAAGGAAATGGCTGAATGTGTCCACTTATTCCTGCAGTTATATCAGTCATAATCGACTGTCTACCGACGCAATCTCAAACAGAGATAAAAAAGGTTTGTTTGGCTTGGCGTTGCTCGGTCTTAGTGCAGACATGACATTATCCCCATCCATCAAAGCATATATGTGAAGTTCACAGTCATTTGATCCGTCCTTTCCCTTAATATATGGCTATCGTACATGGGGATAAGAAAAAAATAGCGGTTTCTAACCATAGATATCTGTGTTATTTCTCGTGTTAGCTGCTAAAATAATATGGCCAACAATAATAGGATAAAGTGTAGGGCTCTGTGTAAAGTGAGTTGATGAGGCAATGAAGCTGCATCAATTCAGATAACTAGTACATGTGTTATGCACCTCACAGCGCTGAATCCACTAACGAGCAATGTCAGCTGAAATAGGATCAGATTGGAAAGGTGTTATAGGTGGGTGATGGTTAGAATAACACACGGCACCAATGTATGAAGTCATCAGGTGTTTATTTGGGCAATATAGTGTGGTGTAGACTGTCTGTATGAAGTCATTGAGATGCTAAGAATCAATGTGATTGGAGAGTTTTGGTCCACAGTTTATTCACTTTTGGTCACTAGACAGGTTGTGAAAATCCTCACTTATCTTCGTTGAATTATTCTCCTTAGTACATCTCGGTCCATTATGATTTCATTGCATTTCTGTTTTGGACCTGTGCCTTAATCCAAAATGAGTGGAAATGAATTAATGCATTTTTATGCCATGTTTTAAATTGACAATTCAGTCATTCGGACAACTTACGTGACTCACCAAGTACCAATGTCCTGCTACACCAATGTCATATTTTGGTCACATCACCAACTTTTTCCAAACTGATCTTAGTCGTTGATGAAATTTGCGTTAGGTTCTTATCCGACTTAATATTAATAATTTGTACTTTAAGAAAGGGCTAAGATTTGAATTTATCACTTTGATAGGTGTAGAATTGGTGTCTTGCAAAGACATCAGCTTAGACCCTTAACATCACTTCGTTTCACGCATTAGATTGTAAACTAATGGATTTTGCTCGAGACCACTTTGTTTTAACAATTTATCTAAAACTGGGATACGATCTTTACTGGACAGGTCTAATTTTCTCTGAGTATCTGAAAATTACGGAGTGTATGCGTCAAAACAATTATCATGTGCAATCAAAGCAAAGAACTATTAATTGAACGAGAAAATGAGTAAGAATAATCATATATCTTGAAACGATGCTTAATTTATCAACAACAGTAACATACCAACATTGAATAACTGATCCATGTACGCCGCTTTTTTGAGTTTGTGGTGGACGAAGAATGAAGAGAACCTCGACAACCAATCATAGCAGACCGATTCATTGCTAGTCTCACTAAAAACATTATGAACCTGAAGTTGGAAATAAGAAACGAAGGCTGAACTCAGTCACAAATATTTGACATTAGTTTGTCAATTGAAGCTGACAACAATGAGGAAATGCTGACGTGCATTGTTTCTACAATAGAGACAGCATTACCATAAGGTTAAAAAAATCGAAACTGCAGAAATACGATGGCGATGTAAACAAACAGCCGTCAAGAAAAATTATGCATAGGATGAGACCGACGGTGGGAAAAGAGTGGCTGAATTAACACAGATGTAGCGAAAGTAATACGAAGAACCTGTCTATCCCAGTCTAGTATCGCGTTATATTACGTATTACATTTATTCCCCTTACTTATTCAACTCAAGTTAACATTCATGTTGGCCTATCTATTAGCATTACTTGGTTTTTCTGACTGGCTATGAAGTTGTTCGTTACGTCTTCGGGTAGGATTGTGATAATTGAGGTTTGCCGAGTTAATAACTCACTGTAGTACGCTTCAGCTGCTGAATCAATGGCAGCAGTAAAGAAAAGACACCGAAGTCAGATGAACTTGAATCTACCAATTATATTCTTCCAGGTGAAAAAGGGCAATTATAAAGCTTCTAGATGGACGCAAAGTCCTTTAATAGAATTTGTATGATTTCCACTTATAAGATCTAATAATTCAGAAGTATGATTGACTTTATGGTGAATATAGTCTAATGATGATAGTTGCGAGTAAACTTCCCAAGCTTACAACAATCCTAAACTTATTCTAACCTATTCTCCGATAATGCTTTTATATGGTAAATGGATATTTTATCTACACACTAAGTTCTAAAATAACGCTGGTCGTGCTTAAAGAGAGCTGGGTGCTGAATTAAGTCTATTCGTTCTGAAGTAACGCTAGTCCGTGCTTAATATGTCCTGTGGAGGGTTGGAAAAACTCTGATAAGCAAACCTAATAGGTTCTGATCTACTCCTGGAAAAAAAGGGCCTAGAAAAAGAACACGGTGCTGAAATAGTGTTAGTCATGCTGAAAACCAACACTGAGTTCTAATCTGTGCCAAGAGAAATCCATTTCAGAATAGATTTAGAATTTACTCATTATAGAATGTTAAATTTATATCACAATTAGTGAGATTTAATTCAGCAGTATAGTAAGCTTGGTTTCCCACTCCAATGTACAAATGGTAGCGCCTGGGAGGACCAGTCGTTGCATTATTAGTAATAAAAAATCTGGGTGAAACTAGAAACGACGATTATGTGTTATGCCCAGACCTCTTAACGGTTGATTCACAAATATTTGACTTTTGTGTCTATTCTTTACTGTTGCCGAATCTAGTAAATTTGATTCAGACATGTCTGAATAATTTACTAATAAGAAATAACTCAATTTCGGACCTAGCATTTACTGGAAGAATCTTGACAAATGTAAGGGACCTGACAGGCCGAAAGTATGCTAAGATGCCCTTGACAAGACAAAAGTCTGCCATTCAATACCCAATGTTTAAGACTCACATTTCAGATTCATTGGTTGAGAATAGAAGGCTTGGAGCCTATGTTAATCCTTTTCTAGTAAATTTCTGTGGTTTTCCAAACCCTTCCTGAATTAATCAGTTGAAGTTGCAGACACCATTTTGTAGCGGTAAATTCACAGAAACTACATGTTTCCTGTATGACTTCATCTAACGCAACAACATAGATATCGGCATACCGATCCATTATCTTGTAGCGGTAAATAATTCCCCAAAATTATTGACCACAGCAATCATCACTCAACATTGGATGCTGACCCTCACTTTTTAAGTCGACTTGTTTAGCTGAAGGCTTACGGTCAAGCATCCATGCCATTTGGTAATCCGTCGTGTCACGTTCGTGCGCGATCACTAGCTAGTTAGGCATTCATCAAGGTTTACTATTTGGTCCCGAAATATATCTCGTACTTTGGAGGATCAATCTTGCCTTTTGCTTTGTCTTCGGCACACGAGGAACGAATACTATAGAAGTTGTTGGTACAAGATCATGCGTTAGTATACTCCGTACAATTCGCGAACGTCAATACCGTCAGCCTAAACTGGTGAGCCCGACGTGATGGAGGTGGGATTCGAACAAACGCCCTTTTGGACTGGTGCTGGCACCTCAACACCTATGGCCAGGAGGCGAAATGTTGCCGTAAACCTTGCAACTTCGGCAATGTCTCAAAGTCTGTGGGAAACTATCCCGCCGGCACGCGTTAGCGGCGACCGTCGCCGGTGACACTAGCCGCCTACTTTACATCCATGATGTGATCAGCCAAACTCGATATTTAGTCGACACAGGCGCCGAAGTCAGCGTTCTTCCTGCTACAGCAGCAGATCGACAAAAGGAACCTACCTTCAACTTACAGGCTGCAAATGGAAAACCAATTGCAACCTTTGGTAGGAAATACGTGTATCTGAACGTAGGTGTACGCAAACCTATTCAGTGGACTTTCCTTATCGCTGACGTCACAATGCCCATCATTGGCACGGGCCTACTTATTCATTATGATTTACTCGTAGACGTCCACCGAAAACGACTTATTGACAATACTACTAGTCTGTCCATCAAAGGCATCACCTACATAGGCTCCAGCTTGTCACACGTTAAGATGAAAGCAATCCTTGATCCAACTTTTCAACAGATTGTTGACAAATATCCGGAACTTAATTGCTCGTCTAACGATCTACCGTGCATAACCAGCAATGTTATGCATGACATCATAAACTTAGGACAGCACGTGACATCTAAAGCACGATGACTGGCTCCTGACAAAATACGGCTCGCTAGAAATGAGTTTGACCGTATGCTCACCCTTGGCATCATTTGGCCATCGGATAGCCCATGGGCATCCCCATTGCATATGGTACCGAAAAAGGATAGCAACGATTGGCCACCCACCGGTGATTGCCAGCGAGTGAACGCCAAAACAACCCTTTGCCTCACATACACCACTTGACGGCAACATTGTCTGGTGCATCTATATTCTCAAAAACCGACTTGGTTAAAGCGTATAACCGAATCCCGATGGCAACGGGAGATATTCCGAAAACGGCTATCATTACATTATTGGGTTCTTGTCTAACTGAAAAAAGAGTTGTCTTACAATAATTTCTCCTCTTACTCGAGATAACTTTCACACTGTCTTGTCACATCTCAAAAGTTGCACTTCTCTACCGAGTTCAATGTTAAAACTTAGTCATTCGGCTTTGTCACTGCAGCTGCCTAGTGTCACAACTCACTACAGTGTTAACTGGCACAAACAATTATGAATGCCGTTTCTTAAGTACTCTATACATTTCCCAATTCTTTAAATTGTCCAAATAAAGTGCACTGAAGAAAACATAAACCAAAAGTCAGTAACACGGACATAAGAATTAGTGCTAATTGAAGTGAATCAGATGGGTGATTTTTTTAACCTGTAGTTATTATTATTATTGTATCCTTTTTTTCATACAGTATTCTTACTGTTGCCACATAATTATCCTCCTATTTTCAGGAATCGATTTGTAATTCAGTGTAAATACTTTTGTAAATAGTTCCCCCCCCCCAGGGAGGGGGGACAAAAAAATACAGAACAAAATACAGAATACGCTTATAGCAGATTTTGTAGTGATTTCAAGTCAATGCGAGTGTGTGTTTTTTCGGCTTTCCACTAAACACCACCATGCATATCTGGCACATTAGGCTTATAAGTTGGGTCTTTTCTTTCTCTAAAAAGTTACTGTTTCAAATCATCTTTGTCAGCTTATATAATTACTCAGGCGTTACAAGGGTAGTTTATGAAATCGGGATTATACTAATTTACTTTTCTTATCACAAGCTGTTCAGCGCTGACTACGCTCTAAAAGATTTTAAGGGAAAACTTACTGCAAAAACTGAAATCAGTTTTCATTTTTCACTTCTGATTTAGTAATTTCAACAATTGCGTCGGTGGCATAGTGGTTAGGACGCTCGCCGACCATGCACATGGTCCGAGGTTCGATCCCCGGCCGACGCACTCCTTTACCTCACTGAGCCAGAAATAATGCTGGTGAAGAGGAAAGGTTGGGCATGAGGCTAGCAACCCCATCCTGTAAAATAAACACTGCTACAGAAACTTCAAGCCACTAACTTGAAGCCCTATGTTCCACTGGGGAACGTGAAGGAAAACAAAAAAAATTGTATCCTTTAATTCCTACAGGAACATAGGGCTTCAGCCGTGCGTCTCCATTGCGTTCTGTACTCTGCTAGAGTCTTCACCTGGCTCCATGTCTGCCCACACGTTTTCATCTCCTCTTCACATGACCTCCTCCAAGTCAACCTTGGACGACCAACCTGTAGTACGCTTAACTAAAATACTTATGTATATGAATGAAGCTGTATCGTTCACAAGATGCTTGTATCAAAGAGGGCACTGAAACATAAACTAAGTCTAACATGAAATATCTTGGAGGTGTTAAATCCTCTGGTCTTTCTTGGTAACTCTATATCTTGTCGATTTCTGTAATGTAATCTTTATAACTGCTTCGAATATTACTTCATAAAATTAGATACAATAATGTACGAGATGCTGCAAATTCAACACTGTAACATTAACACTGTTTTCGAACAAAGCATTGTAGCGGTACGTCCAACGTTTGCGTTACATTTTTGCGTGATTCGTTACATAAAATTTATCTTGTTGTAATCCTTGCACAAGTACTCCACTACCTCCATACCTATAACTATTAACTCTCATAGCAAATAGTTATGGTTAACCAAAGTAAAAAGCAACGAACTCAATCCCCTGTAAAACTGATGGCTAATTTTAAGTCGTTGATTGCTACATCAAGCAACACACTCCCTACAAATGGTTATAGTGAGCCACATAACTCACTTGTATGTCGTAAGCGTCGAGCTGAAACTGAGGATAAAACTGAACTGACAGCTAGTATTAGCACTACTCCCAAAAATTCAGTACCCTCTGCTCATACAGAAACCCTCCCTACACCTTATGTGCTTATCGAAAAGCTCCAGCCTTCAAGCTCTGTTTCAGTACTGTCTTCAGAAATAGAACTTCTAAAGTTGTCCATAGGAGAACTTAAGGCCGAGTTAAGGGACTTAAAAAACAATAAGTCAGTAGATCCTGGAATTTCTGATACCAATACCAAAATTTCCAATTTATCAGATCAGATCAGTGATATCAGATCGCAGGTCTGTGAACTGACACCTTTAACTATTCTCATGAAAACTGTAGACCTTAACAAACTTGACAATGAATCGATATCTAAGGTGGATAACCTAATTAACTTTGTTACTACAGAAGTAACAAAACGACTCGACGCTAAACTAAATGCTATTATCTACAACGTTCCGGACACTGAAGCACTAAAAAAGGTACAGCGCATCCTACTTAGTGAGGCGAAAATGCCCAACTCCAAGACTAAGTGCTACAGGCTGAAGAAGAGTCAACATGAAAAGTGTTGTCCTATTCGTTTTCAGTTCGAAACACCGGCAGAGGCCAGAAAATTCATCCACTCCCAACACACCCTATCGCAAGTCAGAAATTGCAAACTAATAAAGGTGGCAGTGGACAAGACAGTCATAGAAAGGCGCGTATATAATCATCTCACTGAGTCTAATTGTGGAATAAACAACAGGACATTGCAAGCAGCAATTATACCCAACCCTATGAGAGATATCGTAGAATCCACCGCACCACCCGTCTCAAACCACACAGAATTATCCTCCCAGAGAGAGACACCAACCGAATTGCCAGTAAATTGTAATGAAATAGCCAATAAAACTATACCGCCTATCACCGTAGATATAGACATGTCACCAAATAATCCCGGAAAAAAAGTCAAAATCCCCCGAAAGTCGGCCCTGTCCTCTCCTGTCCATAAGCCCATTGGTAAAAAAAGGAGAATATGACCCTAAATCATGCCAACAACAACAATGGCAGTATAAATAAGCCCACATCTCCCACGGTCAATAGTATTGGCACCCAAAACGTGCGAAATAGCACCATGGCCCACACTGATAACCAACGCCACGACAATGCCTCCCTCAATAGTACAAGTGGCAATAGTCAGAACTCGACCACCAACAACTCAGGGTATCCACAGTATGGCACACAAATAAATTTTGATCGGATATATGGTACAAGTCTGCTGGGAACTAACCCACAAAGCAGTACACACGAAACCCATACAAGGACACAACTAGTACCTAACAATAGGTGGAATAATAAACCATGGTCTCCACAAGGTCCCCATCATTTTTTATCTCCTGCGTCCCTGTCAGCGTTGAAAAAACAGCTGGTAGGGATGTTAACACTCCTAAACCGTTAATGCTGGCTCCCCCTTTGCATGAATATAGGAACAGTCTAGTTCACCCGCATCCATTAAGCACACTTGATACATGCACAAGTTTAGGTCAAATAAAGATCTCTACCCATGTTTCCAGCTTAACTAAAAATAAAAATGCCGTAGCCTATAACAAAT